GCTTCGCTTGATAACTGTTTAGTTGAGCGACGATAATATTGTATACGCTTGTTTGCTTGTCCATAAAAACTGCGACAACGGATTGGGGCCTGCCATTTCCTTTTTCGCTTGCGTTAGGTCTGTGCGAGTAGCACGCATGTGGGCTACCAATGATTTATTTGGGGGGCAAGCGCCTGCAATGAAAAGCGTCTAGGCGATCTCTGTCCGCCTCGAGTAGCCAAAGTGAATCTATTGAGTGGCCACAATGAATCTACAGAGTACAAGAGTTTGCTGACCACGCAAATTGACTAAATACACCACGTTCGATATTTCCCAGCTGATGCGCGCGCCAACAAATTTTGCAGCTGTTTGGATCCATGTGCGCTTTCGCTCGCCAATGCAGCGGGGCAGCTCGTTCATTGCCTGCCCATCGCAAGACACGATCCTTCCAAAGTATACGGCTTCCCTGGCGGTATTGATCGGTTCGCCCGTGGGTCTTGTGATCGCGCTGGCACAAAACATGGATGTGTAAGACTTGGTCCCAATGCATGTCCATGCCATATTTTCGTCCTTCCAAAACGATTGCATCAAACACAGGGTGCGAACTGGGTATATGCTTCGAAACCCACCTATGTGTCGTCGGCGTAAAGTATGTCGCGGGTGACGATGTATCCGGCTTCGCTTTCCACTGCCAGACGAACAAAGGCGTCGTGTAGCATAACGGCTTGCACTTCTGTAGCAAGAGATGGTTAAAAAGGGGGCACCCTTAGCAATGCCAGCATTCTGGTATTTTTGTGGAGCGCCCACAATGATCCACTATGGCACAATACCGCTGAGAATCAATGCTTTTACAATTTCCACCATCAGGGCAAGCAGGCCGAATCGTTCGAGAGCTTTGCAAAGGCAGTCCGGTCTGAGGCGGTCGAAAGGTTTTGCCCAACCCAGCACAACAAATACCATTCCATCTCCTTTGTTTTGGCACGCTGCGTGCACCATCCTTCTGACGAGCATGAGGGCATCCCGCATGCGTCCTTCGGCTCCTCCTTGTAGTAAACGCTAGTGCCCCACAGCAAACAGAGAGATGGGGCGGCAGTTGCTCGGGAGCATGGCGTCGCCTTTCTTGGAAAGAAGAGACGCTTCTGTTGATCTCCAAGATTTCGGCAAGCCTTTGTGCTCCCAACATGTGGCGTACATCTGCAATAGCGCTTCGCATGCGTGGTGATGTTATTCGTGTCCACGTTGAAGGTCGGTTCCAGTGCCTCTGTCGATGATGGCGTCAGCTCTGGGAAGCGAGCCTGCCATTGAACCCTTTCGAAATAATCTGCTAAAGCGTCGGGTCGTGCTCCGGTATCGGTATGATGCCCATCCATGTCTTTGGCGCCCGCGTGTTTTCAGCGGCGCGCACTGAGGGGTGGGAGGGAGGGCTTCTTAGAAGGCTGCTACTTAGAAGGCGCCGGCCTTACATCTATAGAGAAGGCCCGCGCCTTCCAAAAAGCAGGGGTGCTTCTAACAAGACCTCCCCCCTCCCCCCACCCCCCGCTGTGCTTGGCGGATGTTTGGTAGCAGCAGGTTTGCGCAATGTGCGCACTGCCTCCCAACTGCCTCCCACCAAGTCATTGTCCATCCAAATCCGTTTGTCCTCCTTGCCTGCTCTGCGATCGCTCTGGTCAACACTTGTTCATTATGGTAGTCTTGGCGCTGTGTTCTTTTGTCAAGCAGATTAAGAGTGATTTGGGATATCCACGACGCTTTGCAGCGGCAGCCCGCGCTTGCAGGGTCTCTGCGGACGTCGCGAAAGCCCAATCCAAATTAGTAGCCGTAGAGTCGAGATTGTTGACGTCGCCTGATGCTTTACATGCAGCGTAACATGTTGTAGCAAATGCTGATGCCACACCCGGGTCTCGTAAAGAAGAACAATATGTTCGAAGTTTGCGAGCATCAACATGTGTGGCGAAATTGATGCCCAGGTCGACAATAAGCAAGTAGAGATGGCTGTTGAGCGCTGCCTCCAGGCAGGCTAGACATGATGACATCAATGGCAAGTAAGACTCGTGACCCAACACATGATCAATTTGTGCTAAACGATCCGGCGTGAGGTTTGCCTCCGAATCTCGAAAGGTAGCCAGCTGTTCATTTGGCCGATCAAAGAAAGTGTTCGCATTGAGCATGTCTGTTGCGGAACACAATTCCACCAACAGTCGTCTATTCGTCATACATGTCGGAAGTGGTTTCGGAGGATTTGCGAAGAAAACGTGTTCACCGATAATATTGTCTTCCCCCACTTTTTGCTGCAAGAGTTTCGCGTTGAAACTCTCAGACGTGGGACGTGGAGGCCCAAGAGGCCAAGATGGGACGTGGAGGCCCAAGAGGCCAAGATGGCCTGGATCCCAAGATGGCCCCAAATGCCCCTAAGACGCCCCAATATGCCTCCAAGAGGCATCCCAAGAGGCCCAAGAGGCAAAAATTATTGGTTTCCCTTAGGTATTGGACAGATTTTGGCGTTCTCGCCTTTTCTTTTTCCAATGCTCCAAGACGGCCGACAAGGCCCCAAAGACCACCCCAAGAAAGCCCAAGAGGCCTCCAAGAAGGCCCCAACACGGCCTAAGAGCGCCACAAGACGGCCCAAGAGACGCCCGACACGGCCCAAGAGGCGAAGCTGCAAGCTGAAGCAGCAGCAGCAAGAGAAGCGGGGAGCGAGGAGGGGGAGGGAATGCGAAGAGAAGGGAGCGCATGGACAAGGGGGGGTGAGGGGAGGGGGCACCGGGGAGGAAAGGGAGGGGGACTGGGGCCTGGGAGCGGGACGGGGCAGGGGGAGGGGGCATGTGGGCGCGAGGTCATCATTATCAGCAGCATCATCATCTCCCGTGCCGCATTTGTCCTCCTCTTCTTCCCACACCTCCTCCTCCTCCTCCTCCTCCTTCTCCTCCTCCTCTTCCTCCTCTCTTTCTCCTCCTTCTCCTCCTCCTCTTCTTGTTTCTCCTCCTACTCCCCAGATGATCCCAGGAGGTCGAGCATATCCCCCTGGGCCTCCCGCTCCGGAGCGCCCGGCGGGCGGGCGCGCCAGGCCCCCGCGCGCCTCTCGGGGGGGAGCTGGGCGGCGAGGGGGGCGGCGGCCGCTCGGATGTGGCCTGCCCTGCAGCGGCGTCGCACGGGGGGGCCTCGCCCGGCGGGGCGGGCCCCTCGCGGTGCCGCCCGGCGGGAGGCCCGGGCCCCAGGCCGGTCCTTTTGGACTGGCTCGAGCCCAGGCTGCAGCCGGCAGGGTCCGCCCTGCTCGTGCGCGCCGTCTCCTCCTCCTCCTGCTCCTCCTCCTCCTCCTCCATCTCCTCCTCCTCCTCGAATGGCTGCACTGGAAAAGGCATCTGGCATCCTGAGGCTCTGCTTTCTCACGGCGCCTCGTGTGGAGAATCGCCCACCCGCAAGTTACCAGGCTCCAGGGGGCAGGGTCCTCCAGTCGGATGCGGCCGCGATCAGACGTCGGGCGTACGCTAACATGGATTACGGATCGGTGGATCTGGCGCGTGGGCGGCAGATCCACGGATGGGAGAAGATAGGCCGGACAACGAAGCCAGTGCCGCCTCATGTAGCGACGGAGCGCGTCGATGTCGTATGGAAACGGGGCCCGTCGCTAGTCCACGCGCCCCAAACCAGTGCTCGTTTAGTCGAAGACGGTCAGACGATCACCTGGCCCTTCGGCCGTCCCATGGCGCCGCATAGTCGTCCTATCACAAAGTTGCAAGACCTTCCAGGATGGAGGGCGTCTCCTGGAGAGAATTGAGCTCTCATCTTAGCCCCGTGCACCCTCGTCTTAAACACTTGCAGAGGCTTCAACGGTAGAAGGCGGCTTTGGTTCAAAAATGGAGACTTCGCCGTCGCGCCGCACGCGTTCGCCTTCACAGCTGGTCACAGTTACACGGATGGAAGACGGTTCCTTCACAAATTGGGGATTTCTGAGTATCGTTTGGCCGATCCCCATCCCCAGAGGCGTGGCCTGGGCCCCACTGGCCGATTTCCCCCCTACATGGGGATGCAGGTCGTTCTCTTCGGGTTTCGAGGGGGGCATCCCCAACTGGGGTGGTAATCTGGTGGGGGTCTCGAAGGGGATGGGGATGGGGATGTGGATCGGTTGAACGATACCGAATCTCGTTTGAGACTTCCCGGATTCATCAGAAACAAGAAACTCCAATACCCGTCAGAGCTGCACGGGTGGATGGCGGCCCCTCTTCATCATGGGGCCCTTCGCCGGAGAGCTCCTCGAAGTGCACGGCCGGGAGCGTAAACTTGCGCAAACGGTTGCACGGATGGGGCGCGGCCCTTTCTCAGAAGCGGGGTCTCGATGAGCACATTCCTGAGCTGTATGATCATGCCTGTTTCGCTTCTCCTCATTACTCGCAAGAAGCATGCACAGCAGTTCCTTTCGAAACGTGGCCCTCGCCTGAAAGGCAAACCCATGTGATGTTAGTCTTTCCAGGGGGCGCTTCTTGTAGTGAGAGTAAAAAACGTGTAGGGGCATCTTGGGGGGGAGGGGGGGACTTGGGACGGAAGGGTGAAGTGCAGCATCGCTGATGCATGTTGGGTGTACCCTGGTCCTCCTCCTCCTCATCCTCATCACCATCATCACCATCCTCGTCCCTCTCCTTACCCTCGTCCTCCCCCAAATGTTTCCGCATTGGTTTCCACAACGGCTGGGAGGACCACATAGTCCAATAGCGTGGCCAACACTTGATCCAATGTTTGACCAAATCGGCGTTTTCATAACGGCATGGGGCGGCGGTGGCACGCCGAACGTGCCTTAGGTCATAACAAACCTACACACATACAAACCCAAACGAACGTCGACATTGGAATGCCTAACGGAGACATGTGGTCACCATACATGTGGCACTGTATCGTTTGTAGGCGCACATAGCCCAGCAGCATATCGCCAAATCGTCTAACCCGACTTTGTCTTTGTCAGGCAATCCACAGCTCACCATGTGCCCCCAGATCAGGAAGTAAGGTAACACATTCAATAGAGACCTTTTTGACTGCGCGCGATGCCACGCCCACTGAAACTACAGAGATTCAGCCGACCCACTTGTCACGGGTTCAGAGGTGTGCGAGATGTTCCCACTCCTCTTGCAAAGAGGCTATCGGTGGTGATGAACACCCGCACAGACAAATTCTGCGGGGATGGACCTGGCTTTGGTTTCGCTAACGAATCATTGCCGATTGCCCCCCGTATGTCCTCGAATCGGCCCAACAGGAGGCCAGTGTGATCTCATCAACCCTTGGCTGAAAATATACCGAGAGCTTCGGCTAGGGCCAGGCGGTAGAACTGAGCAGAATATCTTGACTGCGTCGAGCTCTCACCACTTTCCTCAGCGAGTGTGGTGTGAAACGCTGCTTCCCTGGCTGGGTTACACATTCGACAATGCGCCGACTGTAAGAGCGCAGAACCAAATCAGGAAGCAAAGCCGACTGAAAAACACACCGCTGTACAGCGAAGAGCGCTAAACACAGAAACACACGCCTTCTCGGGCAGCACATTCGACAGGACCAGCGGCACAGAGCAGTCTCACCTCGTTGCCTTCGGCACCAGCTGGCAACTACCTCTGTGATGAAATCGGGCTACAAACTTGCATCATGCCAAGCATCCTGGGGATCTTGTTTTGGGGGCAGGTAAACATGGATTAGCGATCCATGGATTTGGCGCGCGGTCGCCAAATCCATGGATCTGGGGAGGCGCCCTTGCCGCCTCGCTCGGCGGCGGAAATCCGCGATTCCCCATGGAAACGGGACCCGTCGCTCATGCACGCCCCCCTGATCCATGCTTGCGATCGCCTGAATGAACTCGGGCTGCACACTTGCATCGCGCCGAGCACCCTGGGGATCCTGTCTGTGGCAACTGACGCTGGAGCAAGGGGGCGTACGGACAGAGAACACAGTCCGCCGCCGTAACCTCTGGCACGCGGGAGCGCGGGGCGGGATGCCGAGCGGTGTCCGGCAGGGCAGGGTGCCTGCAGCCTTCGAGGGCGCACACCCCGCCTCGCAGCAGCAGGCTGTCGCACGCATCGCCAGACCCCCCCCTCTCCCGAAGGCCCCCGGGCGCCCCGAGACGCCTCGTCTGGGCCCTCCGAGGTGGCCGGAACGGGGTTTCCAAGACGGGCTCGCGGTCGCCCACAGAGGCCGCCAAGACGGCCCGAGATGGCTCCAAGGCAGCTGGCAATATCCCCAGGACGGCCCAACAAGGCGCCGAGACGACCCAGGACGCCTCCAAGACGGCCCAGGAGGGCTCCAGGCGGATCCTCAGTAGGACCGAGGAAACCGCACTCACTGACCGCCCCCAACTGTTTGACAGGTGTTCACATTCTCGCCTTTTCGCACCTGCTTCGGCTCAAGACGGCCCCAGCGGCCTCCAATATGGTCTCCAGACGGCTCAAGCTGGCAAACGAAGGCCCGTAGAAGGCTCAGGACGGCCCCGAGAGCCCCGCGCTGGTCCAAGAGGGCCTCCAGAAGGGCCCAGGACGGCCTCACAGGCCCTCGACAGCCCTCCATAGTTAAAATGCGGTCCCTCGACGGCTTCAAGCGACCTCGAGAGGACCCCAAGAAACCCCAAGAGGACCCCAAGGCGGCCCAGCAGGGCCCCAAGAGACCATCAAGGCAACCCCACAGAAGTCCACGGCAGCCTCCTGTCGGCCCAAATGAGCCCACTGAGAGCTTGTCAAAGAGTGAGTACATAAAGTGTGACATGTGACTGCCTCCCGTGCCCCTCCGAACAATCGCCACCCAGAATGCTGGGCTGCCACGGCGGCGGGACTCGCCGCAAGCAGCTTCATACTGACCCTGATCCTATGATGTCACCAACCTGCAATGCCCAGTATGCTAGCACTCAGAAGCAAAGAGCTATCGACAACCGCCTGTGCGTGCAACGCATGAGCGGGCGTGGAGCGGAGACGATACAATCAGTCCATGAGAGCTACTTGCTGGATGGTTTCGGCCAACTGCACGCGCTGCCCACGGTGAAGGGGGCATGCCAATTTCAGACTTCAGACCTGGGAGGATACCGACAATAGTGAACATGCGAATGTTCATGACTATGACGATCGCAAATCCTCCATGGCTGTACATACATATATATATATACATATATATATACACATATACATATACATATACATATATACTAGAACCACGCGCGCGCTACGCGCGCGCTTGGGTTCTACCTTCGTCCGGGGCATCGGCCAAACAACGCACGTGGAGGTTGAAGGCTGAATGCGCTTCGGTTATTCGTCGAGTTTCGCGGTCGTGGTTCGAGAAGCTTTTGGGCGCTCCTCACCCCCAGGCGGCCCGAGGCGGCCGAAAACGACACCTCTCTCTTCTTTTTTCCCCCTGCTCTTGCTCCTACTCCTACTCTTCCTCCTCCCCCCATCGCCCCCTCCTTTTACCCCTTCCTCCTCCTCCGCCCCCTTCCACCCCTCCTCCTCCTTTTCCTCCTCCTCATCCTCCTCCTTCTCCTCCTTTTTCCTCCTACTTTCCCTCTCCCTCCTCCTCTTCCTCCTCCTCCTCCCCCACACCTCCTCCTCCTCCTCCTTCTCATCCTCCTCCTCCTCCTCCTCCTCCTCCTCCTCCTCCTCCTCATCATCATCATCATCATCATCATCATCATCATCATCATCATCATCATCATCACCATCACCATCACCATCACCATCACCATCATCATCTTCATCATGTTCCTCCCCCTCCTCCTCTTCCTCCCTCCTCCTCCCCTCCCTCCTCCTCCTCCTCCTCCTCCTCCTCCTCCTCCTCTCCTCCTCCTCCTCCTCCGCCTCCTCCTCCTCCCTCTCCTCCTCCTCCTCCTCCTCCTCCTCCTCCTCCGCTCACTCCTCCTTCTCCTGCTCCTCCTCGTCCTCCTGTTCAGAATACATGGCTCGCCAAACGGCGGCGCGACGCCGCGCAAGCATTGGGCCACATCGGATAAAAGGGAACACTCGGGGGAGGCCTCCCTCTTCCTCTTCCTCATCCTTTTCTCCTCTTCCTCCACATCCTCCTCCCCTCCTCCTGCTCCTCCTCCTCCGCCCCTTCCTCTCCTCCTCCCCTCCTCCTCTTCCTCCTCCTCCTCCTCCTCCTTTCCTCCCCCTTCTCCTCCTCCTCATCCTTTTCCTCCTCCTTCTCCTCCTCCTCCTCTTCCCCGCCGTCCTCATCATCATCATCAGCATCATCATCAACATCATCATCATCATCCTCATCAACATCATCATCATCGTCATCATCCCTTTTCCCTCCTCCTCCCCCGCCCCCCTTCTCTTGCCACCCCCCATCCTCCCCCCTCGTTCTCCTCTTCCTCCTCCTCCTCCTCCTCGTCCATCTCCTCTTCCTCCTTTCCTCTTCCTCCTCCTCCTCCACCTCCTCCGCGTGCCAGAAATCCAACAACATGTCGCGGAAATCAACGAACTGTGTCCCTCCGGGTTTTTTCCGGGCGTCTTTTTAGGACTTGTCGGGGCCGTCTTAGGGCCCCCTTGGGCGTCCTGGGAACCCGGAAATCATGTTCCGATAGAGGCTTCGGGGAATTTGATTTCGGACGCTGCGGAAGAGGCCTCCAGAGGCCTCCCGATAATCTCTATAGGCAGCTCTGCTTGCCACCTCTGTGGCTCTGTTGGGTGCCTTTTGGGGCTCTCTTGGGCTGGCTTGTAGCTCTCATGGGTCATCTTGGGTCCCCCTTGGGCCGTCTTGGGGCTCCTCGGGGTGGCACTGTGAAGACGTCGTCGTCGTCGCCGTTCGCCGATCGGCGGCGTCAAATGTTGTCATCGTCGCCCATCGTCGTCGTCGTCGTCGTCGGTCGTCGCCGTCGACGACCGTCGTCGCCATCGTCAATCACCGTCGCCGATCGTCGATCGGCCCCGAGCCCTCCCGCCCACTCCTCCTCCTCTCCTCCTCCTCGTCCTCCTCCTCTTCCTCCTCCTCCTCCTAATCTGCCTCCTCTTCCTCTTCCTCCTCCTCCTCCTCCTCCTGAAATCATGTTCCCGGAGACGCTTCCCGGGACAGGATTTCGAACGATGCAGAAAAGACTGGGTCCAGGGTGGCTCTGCGCACGCGGACAGCGTCGCCACCGTCGGCGTGGCCGTCGTCGTCGTCGCCGTCGATCGTCGATCGGCGGCGCCGACTGTTGTCATCGTCGTCTATCGTTGTCGTCGTCGGTCGTCGACCGTCGTCGTCGTCGTCGTCGTCGTCAATCACCGTCGCCGGTCGCCGTCGCCGATCGTCGATCGCCTTCGAGCATCCTCCTCTCTCCCCCCTCCTCCCCTCCACTCCTCCTCCCCGCCTCCTCCTCCTTCTCCTCTTCCTTTTCCTTCTCCTCCTCCTCCTTCGCCCTCTCCGTCTCCTCCGCGCGGAAGAAATCTAACAACATCTCGCGTAAATCAACAAACTATGGCCTTCCGGGCCTTTTTGAACGTCCATTTAAGGCCTTCTGGGCCGTTTTAGGGCCCTCTTGGGCGTCGTGGGAACCAGGAAATCATGTTCCCGGAGAGGCTTCTGGGAACATGATTTCGAAAGAGGCCCTCTTGGGCCTCCCTGAGGCCGTGTTGGGAGCCTCCTGGGCCAACTTTGGGGCCTCTTGGGCCGTCTTGGGGGTTCCGTGAGCCTCACAGGACGACCCTTTTGGGCCGTCTTGGGCCCTCTTGGGTCTCTCTTGGGCTGTCTTGGGGCTCGGGGGCGTCTGGGGCACTGTGAGGACCAAGCAAGCAAATATGCTGAAAACGTACGTTGTACAACGGGAGTGGGCCGATTTTTGCCTCTTGAAGGCCCTCTTCGGCCAGCTTCAAACCATCTCGGGCCCTCTTGAGGCGCTCTTGGACGTCTTGGGGCCCCCTTGGGCCTCGCTGAGGCTGTCGGACAGCGTCGCCGCCGTCGGCGTGGCCGTCGTCGTCGTCGCCGTCGATCATCGATCGGCGGCGTCGACTGTTGTCATCGTCGTCGATCGTCATCGGTCGTCGTCGTGGTCGTCGTCGTCGTCGTCGTGAATCACCGTCGCCGGTCGTCGTCTCCGATCGTCGATCGCCCTCGAGCCTCCTCCTCCTCTCTCCCCCCCTCCTCCCCTCCACTCCTCCTCCCCGCCTCGTCCTTCTCCTCTTCCTCTTCCTCCTCCCCCTCCTCCTCCTCCTCCTCCTCCTCCTCCTCCTCCTCCTCCTCCTCCTCCTCCTCCTCCACCTTCGCCCTCTCCGTCTCCTCCGCGCGGAAGAAATCCAACAACATTTCGCGAAAATCAACGAACTGTGGCCCTCTGAGAATTTTTGAATGTCATTTTTGGCCCTTTTGGGGCCGTCCTGGGGCCCTCTTGGGCGTCCTGAGAACCCGGAAATCATGTTCCCGGAGAAGCTTCTGGGAACATGATTTCGAACGGGGCCCTCTTGGGCCTCCCTAAGGCCGTCTTGGGGGCCTCCTGGGCCGGCTTTGGCGCCTTTTTGGCCGTCTTGGGCTGTCTTGGGGCTCCTCGGGGGGCACTCTGAGGACGAAGCAAGCGAGTATGCTGAAATTGTACGTTTTACAAAAGGAATGTGTAAAGTTCTGCCTCTTGAAGGCCCTCTTGGGGCCCTCTTCGGCCATCTTCAAGCCATCTCGGGTCCTCTTGGGGAGCTTTAGGACGTCTTGGGGCCATCTGGGG